ATTGTTGCAGTTTTCTATTCTTCTAACCCTCCCCCCAGTACATTCCCCTCTTGGAAAAGTAAAAGAAAAATTCTTTCATTGTTTTACAATCCCTCCCCCAGGTCCACTCCACTATGCAGCCTTCACTCTGGACTCCCGTCATGACAAAAGGGCCTAATATCCCTTTTAAACAGTTTTCTCCCTCATCTGTTTCAATGCAGTATACATTATTCAACCCATCTTTCTCAGTCTCCCCGAAACCCCAAGGTCAGTCCTGTTTTACAACAGTGGCACCATGTAGTATTTGTCCTTTTGTGGCTGAGATATTTCACTCAGCATCATGTCCTCCAGGGTCACCCATTTTGAATAATATTACATGAGTTTCTTGTTTTTCAATGCAGCATAGTATTCTATTGTGTGAGTTTACCACGGCTCTTCTATCCCGTCGTTTGTTGATGGGCACCTAGATTGTTTCCAACTCCTTGCTGTTGCGAACAAAGCCACGAGAAACATGGGTGTGCATATATCTGCCTGGGTGTCAGTTATGGTCTGTTTGGGGTATATTCCCAGTAGTGGAACTGCTGGGTCAAATGGTATCTCTATTTGAAACTTTTTGAGAAAGCACCACGCCACCTTCTACAGTGATTGTACCATTTTACACTCCCACCAACAGTGAATAAGGGTTCCAGTTTCTCCACAACCATACCAGCATTTGTTGCTTTAGCAGGTGTTTTTATAGTTAGTGTCAATAAGTGAGTGAAGAAATTTGGGATGTTTGGACTTGAGAGAGAGGGGTGCCCGCAAATTCAGAATTTAAAAGTAGTTTTCTTAATTTAGCAAGTAAATCTCTCTTTCTAGCTCTCAGTGTAAAGTCTTTTAATCTGGATATAAAGTGGCAAGTGTTATGTAGAATTTGCAGTTTAGATTTGCTCTCATTCTCCTCTGAGACTAATTTCTCACCTTGTCAATTATTAGGAAAAGAAGTTTTATTATTGATGCAAGCCCTCAACACACTTTCGACTCCAGAGGAGAAGTTGGCAGCTCTCTGTAAGAAATATGCTGATCTTGTGAGTATTTCATCATGTGAGCAAGGCTAATCTAAAATATGTGCATGCTTGATAAGCCCTTCAGATTATAATTTTGGTAAAAGTTTTAATGTATAGTTTTATTTTGTTACAGAATTGAAGGGGAGATATTTGACCTCTTAAGCTTTTTGTTGGTTGCATGACATTTTATGAAAGGGTCGGCATATTATATACAGTGCTTTGTAAGATACAGAGTTTCTACAACTCAGGCTGCCTTAGAATACTCTACGTCAGCATCTCTGTTTCTCCCATCCAAGTACTACCCAGGCCTAACCCTGCTTAGCTTCCGAGATCAGATGAGATTGGGCATGGTTAGGGTGGTATGGCCGTAGACATGCTTCTCTGTTCCTACAGTATACATTAGCTGCCTGCCAGTCTGCTGGGATCTGGTGATTCCGTTATTTCCTCAGTGGACCATTTAGATTGAAATGATGTTAGGTGAAGTAGTCTGCTAACGTTACACTGTGTCTCAGGAGATCTGAGACCCAGGGTGCTCTGAGGGCCTCATCCGGAGGGAGCTGTACTGCTCACTTTACGGTCATGCCTCGGGCAGTTTGGATCCACTCTTTGGGGCAAAGATGGGCAATTCTCCCATGCGGTTTACAGCCTTGGAATCCTGATGGAGGGTCAGCTAAGAGTCAGTTTCGACTGGATGGCAATGAGTGAGTTTTGGATGGGCCAGAGTCCCTTTTGTGTTGAGCTGCTATCATAAGGTCCGCAGTTGGAATCCATCAGCCGCTCCATTGGAGCCTCAGAAACCCAGAGGAAATGAGGTCACAGCAGCTGGAGTCTGGTGACACAGTGGATTCTGCATTGGGTTGCTAACCACAAGGACTGAGGTTTCAATCTGCTCATGGCTCTGTAGAAGATAAGGCTCGGCAAAGCCTTGAAAACCCTGTAGGGCAGTTCTGCTCTGCCTTCTAGGGTCTCTGTGAGTTGAGATGTACTTTTACTTTTGTTTTGTAGGGTCTCTACGAGTTGGAATCACTTGTCTGACAGTGGGCTTGGTATGTGGCAGCAAGAATTCCTGGTAACATAGTGGTTAAGCACTTGTCTTCTAACGGAAGTGTCAGTGGTTGAACCTACCAGCTGCGCTGAGGGAGAAAGATGTGGCGGTCTGTTTCCCTTAAATATTACGGCCTTGGAAACCCTATGGGGCTGGTCCTCTCTATCCCGTAGATTCACTGTGAGTTACCACCCACTGGACCCTGGTTAGGTTTTGAGGGGTTTTTTTTGCTGTAATTTGAATGCTGAGCCACTTAGGTGAATTATCATTGGCAGTCTTGAGGCATTTTCATGTGTTAAAGCAGTTGTTTGGTAGCACAAACGCTGCTGTTTTCATCAGGCATCAGGTCTAAAGAAGGAATTCTTACTTCTTTGTGGAAAACTGAAGATTACTTTCCCTCAGTTCAGAAAGTCTTCGCTGTGTACTCACCCCGCTTAGCTAACATTCATCAGCTTCTGTTACTCAGATCCACGGCTGGAAAGCCTGTGGATCAATGAAAATGATCTGGCGCTCTCCGGAAGCCCAGAGAGCACAAAGCAGTGTGGGATGGCTGCCAAGACGCAGCCCTGTCAGTGCCAGGGATGTGAGGAGAGTCAGGTGAGGAGGAGCCCCACAAAGCGGACTGGAGCCCAAAAAGACAGCTCTCTGCTGAACCAGAGCGGGGCAGGAGAAGGGCTGAGTGGGAAGTGTCCCCAGGCTCCTCATTCTTGGGCTTTTGTTAATCCGATTCACATGTAGAGCACTCTTGGGAGTTTCTAATGGATTCCCCGGTGTCCGGGGTGGGGGGCGGTTTGGGTGTTGGGTGAGTATGCTTCTTGTGACAGCCCGTATGCATTCATGAATGCCCGTAGAAACACCTCCATTTTAGGAAGTGACTTGTGAAGAACTTTGCCTTGTAAGTAACTTTGGTTCCAGGCAACTCATTAGAGATCCGTGGTTATTTACAATAAAAACATGAATACTTTTTCCAGAAAATGTCCTAATGTTTTATTTCTGGAAACTTGGCTCTTTTTTTAAAAAAGCAGAGTGTACCCAGTAAATGAAAGGTAGAGTTGTTAGATGGAGTGGGAACCCTCCAGCAGGTTTTCAGAGGCTGTAAATCGCAGAGGAGGAAGTTGTCTGTCTTTCTCCTGAAGAGCGGCCGGTGGACTCCAACCAGGTGTTCATTGGGATTGGCAGTGCAGCTCCTTAGCAGTATATAGAGAGATGGACTGCACTTTATTGCAGGTCTGGGAGAGCCAGGACAGTCCCCTCAAAAACTGCCTCCCCGATTGAAGAGTGGTCATTGTTTACTAGTAAACAGACAACTTGTGTTTTAATTGACATATGACTAAGAAAATAGTTTCCAAAGGTAAATGCTAATCCAGAAAAGATGCATTTCTCCTCATGTGATAAACAGACAGCTTAAAGTACAATTTCAATTTGACTGAGAAAAAGTTTCAAAGAGGTAAATGCTAATCCAGGGAAGAGGCATTTCTCCTCCTGATAAACAGGCAGTGTACTTTACATGACTAAAGAAAAAGAAGGAGGATTCTAGGGCAGAGCAACCAGTTCTGCTGGCTGGAGGCAACTGATGGCAGTTTTACAACTATACCTTATGTTTAAGTGATCCTGAATTTATTAATACCACCCTGAAACCAGTAGGCCCCCAGAGCTTCGTAAAAGTAGAATACCTGGGTTATAAACAGGGAGGGCTTCAAGGCTTGTTGGGGAATTTCTCTGTGAAGTAGGGTAGATGCTCTGTGATCTGCCCTGTGCCTGTCTTTATGGGGAGACCCTTTGATGGTTGCCACATTCATCATAATATTCCAGTGTTCTCTTTCCAAGTGTGGGTAACGTTCACCTTTAACATGATGGTGCAGTTGGTAAATGCTCAGCGGCTAACCAGAGTGCCAGTTCAAAGCCACTGGCTGTTCCACAGGAGAGCAGGGTGGCAGTTAGCTTTGGGGAAGATTCACGACCTTGGCAATCCTATGGGACAGTTCTGCCCCGTCCTGTAGGGTCGCTGTTAGACAGGCTCTCCTTGACAGCAGTGAATTTTTTGGTGGGTTTCTTTTTTTTATTTTTTAAAGTATTTTATGGTTTCCCTTTTTCACTCCTGAGTCAGCCACTAGCCCCATCGGACTTTTTAAAGTTAAAGAAAATTGAAAAATTCAGTTCCTAAGTCACACCAGCCACAGTAAAGTTAAAAGAACTAAGATAAACAGAAATGTTTCTTAGGATGCCACACTGATGACATAAAATCACAGGGGAAGGAAAAGCATAGAATGAGGAAGGACAGGGTTGAGGGTGTGATTCTGGGAAGCCTCATGCCGGGGGACATGGGGAGATGGAAATCATTGCCAGAGTTTTAGGTTTTGTGGCGAATGGTTGAGGAGACCAGTGAGTGTCTCCTGAATCCGAGAGAAGAAGGAAAACGGGAAACCAAACCAACAGCATCACGACTTCCTGGCGTTCTCCGAGGCTCTTATCCTGTGAAACACAAACTGCAAGATGGACAGCGACTCCTGTGACCAGGACCTTACTTCCTTTTAGCTCCTGTTCTCTCCCAAGTGTGTCAAGACTAAGAGATTGAATTCCTGTTTCTCTGCTTTTTAAAACCAAAAATACCACATTTTGCAAAAGTTGAGGCACCTCAAGGCCATGGTAGTTGTCCCTTCTGTCACCTACCAGCTTGTGGCCCTCACTTTCTAGGCCGCGTTCCTGCACCAGGTTGCCTGGCCTCTTGTTCTCGGCCTGCCTTGCCATCGCACTATCCAAGGCACACACTGTGTGGATCACCCCACGGACCTTGGGGCTCTAGAGTCACTAGCACAGATTCGTGTGTGACCTCCTCAGCTACCACTGTGGCCACCTTTGCACGGGCCCTGTGCTTTCCTTAGACTTGGCAAATCATCACAATCACCCTCTGCAAATACCCTCTGCCCCCTCTGATCATCTCCTCTACCTGCCTGGCAGAATCCCAGTTCTGGGCATCGAAGGAATGCCACCAGGCAGATGCAAGTGTGGCCAGGCCTTTGGCACCGGGCCCTGTTAGTTTATTTTTCTAAACCAGTACCTGGGTCTGTGTCAACTCACAGCAACTAGTCTCCCCTCTCTGGTTCCCCAGGCCATACTTTTTTTTTTCCTCTTATCCCTCTTAACCTCTCTTTACCTTTTTCCTCCAACAAATGACCATACGCCATGTTTCTTAGTGGAGAAAGAAGCCATCGGACTGACAGCATCGTGCCCTCAGATCAACAGATGAATTGCCCCTGCACCATCTTTGGGACTATCATGAGCGGTGCTGGGTGCCCTGCACCTTGTGAGATTCAGTGTAGTGTAACAAGGAATTCCTCCCCACTGCCACGAAAGAAGGCAAGGAAAACGAGCAGCATTTGTATGTTCCCAGCGATGCCAACTCACGCTCGGGCAGATTTTGCTTGGAGGAGGATCACAGAGCTGGGGGACAGTGCCGATGACATCCACTGCACCGGAGGCCCATTTGCACCAGGGGACAGCTCCCAGTCATCTCAAAGTACTTCCCACAGTTCCTATAGAAAAGCAGACTCCGCCTTTCCTGCAGGGATTTCAAGAATGGCATTTTGCATTTCTGCAGCCAGATGGCTTGTGAGGACGCTTGCTTGATGTTTTCTAAGGCCACAAGATGTCACTCTTACGCCTGACAGTGTGACTCACCAGCATTTCCGTCATCAGAGAAAGCTTTGTTGAATGGTTCGCAAGGCTGCCATCTTCTCTTGGTTTAACCTTGACATCGAAGATCCGTAGATCTAAAGCTGGAGCGGGTCCTCCCTCCTCCTCCCTCTGCTGGCAGAGGCTCCTCAGCCGAGGGCTCTGGTAAAGTTCCCTTTGTGTTTTCACACGGTTTGAAAGCATTCTCCGGAAATGGCAGTTTTTGTTTTTATTAGGAAAATAGAAGTTAATACTCCCCTCCTCAACACCCCCCTCCACACACACACACACACACACACACACACACACACACACACACACACACACACACACTCTCTCTCTCTCTCACACAGATAATTTGCTCACTTTCCCCTCATGGCTAGACAAAAACCGAGAAAAGGTTGGCAGAGTAGTGTGAATGAAACGATTTAGATAAAATATTACCCTGCAGTATTGATATCAGGCTCCCAGAGAATGTGCCGGAGCTGTGACTGTTTGTCTTGCAGCCATGACTTGGGAACTCTCCCTGGGCTTCTTAAATGGAAGGTGCTTGTTCGTTCTAGTTGGAGGAGAGCAGGAACGTTCAGAAGCAGATGAAGATTCTGCAGAAGAAGCAGGCCCAGATTGTGAAAGAGAAGGTCCATTTGCAGAGCGAACACAGCAAGGCCATCTTGGCAAGAAGCAAGCTCGAGTCTCTTTGCAGGGAGCTTCAGCGCCACAATAAGACCTTGAAGGTTAGTTGGTTTTACACAATGTGATGATCACAATTAATGTCCGAGAACTCTGCTTGTAAAGAGAGTGGAGATGGCAGCTGTTTTGTTACGTATATATTTCTCCAGTTGAAACAAAAAAGGTTAGTTGGTTGGCTTTTCCACTTTTCCTGAGGTTTCTTAATCCCCTAGTATCTGTTTGTTATCAGCCCTCGCCTCCACAGGCCTTGACAGGAATTAGCTGTGATGATGGCTGCTTGCTGATAAATCCCTGGGACATCTGCACTCGTCGTTCAGGTTCCTGAGACGATGACTTTGCAGGGCCCAGGGGACCGGGAGACTGCTGGCCTGGCTTTCTGTGTGGACGTGCTCAGGCCGTGTGGGAAGTCGTCATAAATTTGAGAGCTCCTCTTAGCACAGAGCTGGTGGTTTTGCAGGCAGAGCAGACTTTGTTGGTAGCCTACAGACTTGATCCAGCAATCTAGATGAACTTGATGTTTACGTCCACAGCATTCCCACTGGGAGCCCTGGCTTAGGCAGCAAGCACGGCTCTCTACTGACCACAGATGTGCCTGGTTACAAGAGTGTGGAAAGCTGAGTGGAAGGGGCAGACCCTGTGCAGCGAACCTGAGGCTGAGGGAACTTGACAAGGCAAAGCGGGCTGCTGAGCTCTTGGGTGGGCAGGGACCTGGCTAGGTCCAGGCCCCCAGGCTTCAGTTGCCCAGGACTTTGAGACAGTAGGTAGACTGTGGCAGCTCTTTAAGGAAGAGGAAGCAGGTTGCCAGAGATTGACTGCTTGTCCAAAGAGTGAGGACAGAATTGCAGAGCCTAGGAAGGTGGCTTCCTTCCTCTCCTGGAGTGAGGTCAGGCTTGTCCCATGATGTGGAAGCTGGAGTACAGCTGGGCTCTGGTTTCTGAGTGAGCTCACGGCTTCGTACCCTGAGTAATCCCGGCCCCAAAGCTCCAGTCCTAGATTGCAAGATCACCTGGGAGATAGCCTCACCTGCGCCAGAGGGCTGCGGCTTTGGATTTGAATAGGAATAAAAACAGGAGATGTGGTTTTTGCTATATTAAGTCAACATTTGGATTGGACTGATAACAGTCTTGAGGTAACTAGAAATAATGTTCTTTAGCATTTGTATCCTAATAAGAGTTGAAAGTAAGCATTTTCAACAAAGGATCCACTTCCACTTGTCCCCGCCCGACTCGAGAGTGGAGGGTATGGCCTGTGGAATCTGCTCCTGCAGGGTCATATTGCTTCTGGTGGTCCAGGTTGCCCTTCTGCCAGGAGGGAGCCACTTGGAATTCAGCAGTGTTAGGTGGGGAACAGACAGTTGTTTTCCAGCAAAGCACCTCGCATCTCTGAAGTGTTCTTTGATCTTCGGAGTGGCTGCTTATTTGTATTGAGCTTTCTGGTCATAAGCTGAGAGGAGGAAGTGGAGTCAGAAATGAGCTCACAGAGCAGAAGCATCTTGGTGAAGACCTTTTCTATTAATGATTCTGTTAACAAACATTGTTTTGGGAAATAGGAGGAAAATATGCAGCAAGCACGAGAGGAGGAAGAACGGCGTAAGGAAGCAACAGCCCATTTCCAAATTACGTTAAATGAAATTCAAGCCCAGCTGGAACAGCATGATGTGCACAATGCCAAGCTGCGCCAGGAAAACATTGAACTGGGGGAGAAGCTCAAGAAACTCATTGAACAGTATGCACTGCGGGAAGAGGTAAAGGCCTTTGTCTGTCTGTTTAGACAGCTACCATTAGTAGCATAAGCTTTTCCCTTTCATTTCTCATTGAACTCTGTGGTCCTAGGATATGTAGAACTTGGGTCACGCTCTCTGGCAGCACAAAAAGCTCAGGCGCAGCCAGCTGCTGGTGGGCTTGGGTAAATGAGGGGCTTTCCACTGGACATGTGAAATACTACTTCCGTATGAAAGGGGAAGATTCCCTCACCCGTTGAAGTAAAATCTTAACTGGAAGAATGTGAGCCTAGTGAACTTGGCCATTGGCCTCCGACCTGGACTGTTGCTGTGATTCTACAAGTTAGTCTAGAACTTCAGAGGTGGTGGTGTAAGTAAAAGCAAATAGAAAAACCCTGCTCTTTGAAGTTCCTCCTTTTCACAGGTCCAGTGGACAGGATTAGAGGCTGTGAGTTTTGTAAATAATGCATCCATCCCCCAGCCTTTAAACCTGAAAAAGATGTGCTTACATGTGCACTGTACCTTATCCATAAACAGATTAAATACTTGGTACAAAACAAAACAAAAATGGCTTCTCTAGAGTGTTTCAATCAGTGTTCACATTTACAGTTTTACAAATAATCCTTTGAAAACTATTAGGTTTTTTTTTTTAATTTTTATTGTATTGTTTTTACGTGTACCATCAAATCAGATCTGACTGGTCCAGGAGGAGGTTGTCCCCTCCTTCTCCAGCAGAGCATCTGGTGGATATTTTTTTTTTCATCTGGTGGATTTGAACCACGTACTTCTGGGATTGCAGTGCAGCATCTTGCCACTAGGCCACCAGAGCTCCCTTGAAAACTATTAGGGTTTTAAAAATTTTTTTTAACCTTTTTAATATGGAGACTTGCAGGTTGATATTACAGAGAGGCTTCAGCAATTCTTAAAGCATAGCAACTTGAGCCTCATATATATTCCCATCACCTCCAAGCAAATCCAAGATAGCCTGTTCTTCCATTCATAAATATTTGTGTGTATCTCAAAATGTTATTCTTTTTGAACTATAACCACAATGCTATTTTACACCTAAAAAATTAATAATTACTTAAGCTAACTAGATCTAGGGAGCTCTGGTGTCCTAGTGGTAAGAAGCTGCACTGCAGTCCCAGAGGTATGAGGTTCAAATCCACCAGCTTCTCCATGGGAGATGGATGGGCAATCTTCTCCCATGTAATTTACTGCCTCTGAAAACCTGCTGCAGGCTCAGCTAGGAGTAGGTTCCAACTTGATGATACAACAGCAGCAGCAGCCGCCAACAGCAACATCTAGATTTAGTCATTGTTCAAATTTCTCTGTTCTCTCTTTTTAATACTTGTTTGAATCACAGTCCAAAGAAAATCCATACATTTTACTGATTGATAGGTGTCTCTGGCCTTGAATATTTAGATTTTCATCTCTTTCTTTCGTTATTTTAACTTTTGTAGTACGTTTTTATGGAAGGAATTTTTCTTTTCCTTTCTTTTTAAAGTTTTTTAATTTTTTTAAAATTTTTGTGTGTATGTGGTTGCTATGAATCTCAAGTGACTTGACGGCACATAACAACAACAATGTATTGTCAAATTGGATCTGACTGGTACAGGAGGAGATTGCCCCTCCTTCTCCAGCAGAGCATCTGGTGGATTCAAACCGAATTTTTCTTATCATAAAATGATAAAAGTCCCAGGGTAGTTTCCCCCCTCGATTTTTTAAATTTTATTTTATTACAGTGAAACTTTACAGATTATATTGGATTTCTATTCTGTCATTTATAGACATTTTGTTTTTTCAACTTTCTTAAAAAAATTCTTTTAGTTTTGTTGTTTCATATAACAATTTAGCTCATCATAGAGAGCAAATTTGGAAATCATGTGTTTGGATCATACTAATGTATGTTGTTTATATTTTAATACACTAGAATATTTCTTTTTTAATTTGGGCAGGTAATAGTGACAAATCATATACTCTCTATGTAATGTGTACAGCTATATAAGTGTGTGTGTGTGTGTGTGTGTGTGTGTGTGTAGATATAGATATATAGATCTAGATATAGACATAGCTAATGTTAGATGGATCTTGGCAGAAAGCAGAGAATACCAGAAGAATGTCTATCTGTGCTTCATTGACTATGCAAAGGCTTTTGACTGTGTGGATCACAACAATCTGTGGCTGACTCTGAGGAGAATGGGAATCCCGGAACATTTGATTGTTCTAATGTGAAACCTATACTTGGACCAAGAAGGAGTTGTCAGCACAGAGCAGGGAGACACTGGATGGTTCAAATTCAAGAATGGGGTCTGTCAGGGATGTTTTTTATCTCCATACCTTTTCAATCTGTATGCAGAACAGATCATCTGAGACCCTGGGCTGTACGAGGAGGAATGTGGCATCAGGATTGGTGGAAGACTCATCAACAACCTGGGTTATGCAGATGACACAACCCTGCTCACTGAAACTGAGGAGGACCTGAAGCGCTTGCTGCATAAGGTCAGGGACTGCAGTCTTCAATATGGATTGAAGCTCAACATCAAGAAAACAAAGATTCTCACCACTGGGCCAATTGGCAGCATCAGTATGGATGGTGAAGAGATTGAGATACTTAACAGTTTTAGTTTACTTGGTTCCACAGTCAACACTCTTGGTCACAGCAGCCAGGAAATCAGGAGACGGATTGCATTGGGAAAGTCAGCTGTGAGGGACCTCTCAAGAGTACTGAAGAGCAACGATGTCAGGCTGAAGACTGAGGTGTGCCTGATCCAGGCTATAGTTATGTGCTATGCATCGGAGAGTTGGACAGTGACTAGGGGTGATAGAGAATTGATGCCTTTGAGCTGTGGTGCTGGAGAAGACTGTTGAATATACCATGGACTGCTAGGAGAACAAACAGGTTTGCCCTGGAGACGGTGAAGCTAGAATGTTCCCTGCAGTCAAGGATTCTGAAGCTTCGTCTGACATACTTTGGGCATGTTGCAAGGAGGGACTGGTCCTGGGAGAGGGACATCATGTTTGGGAGAGTGGAGGGTCAGCGAAGGAGAGGAAGACCCTCGATGAGATGGATCGATTCTGTGAGTGGAGTGGTGGGAATGAGTGTGTTTGAGATGGCGAGGTTGGCACAGGATAGAACATTGTTTAGAGCTCTTGTACATAGGGTCGCTATGAGTCGCAAGCGACTTGATGGCACATAACAAAAACAACAACATATGTACTTATAAGCTACCAATTCATTTATAGAGTATTTCAACAAGAGGAGTTATTCTTGAAGTAAGGAGTGATGCTCTGATGATGTACTTTATTGCACAGAAATGACCATTTAACAGTTTCATTTGGGAATCATCATGGCCTTTTGTTAGGCCTCTTGGATGTGGCAACACTGAGCACCTCCCCTGGTGGAGCCGTTTTTCATTTTCACACTTCCGAAGCTCTGGTGGCGTAAGCGGGTAGGCTCTGGTGAGCGTCACCTGGGTTCTGTCCTTCTCGTAGAGAGTGCTCCTCTCCCTGGTTACTGACGGAAGCCGTTTTCCTTCTCCCATAGCATATTGATAAAGTGTTCAAACATAAGGAGCTGCAACAACAGCTTGTGGATGCCAAACTTCAGCAGACGACACAGCTCATAAAAGAAGCTGATGAAAAGCATCAGCGGGAGAGAGAATTTGTAAGTTCTATTTCTGAAAGAAGAAATTGTCAAGATGGTAGCCAGACCCCTTGAAAACATCTGAACTTTTCTCAGTTTCACGTAGCTCCTGGGGCCTGCCATTTGGTGTTTGCTCTGCATGAGGAAGGAGCAAGTGGTCAAGGCTGACTTTTTATTTCTAATTTTTTCTATAACAAAGGCACTAAAGATACTAGACTGAGTTAATGGAAAGACTACCCTTGCTTGGTTTTTTCTGTGCTTAAAGATTTCTTTCACTTCTTGGGTAAATGGGCCATCAGATTTAAGAATTTTCCCAGTTGTTTGGAAGATCAGGCCTTGAAAGGCAGAGGTAATTACATTGACCATGGAGTTTATCCTCCACTGGTCTCCCATATACTGTTACGTTTAGCTTTTAAACCAGTAACTTGAAACTAGGTAAATGATTTGTTTACTTACTTTGGCATAGTTTTCTGATAAAATTTTAACAGAATTCTGTATGCCTTAATCACAGCACATTGTTCCCAGAGTCTCTGCTCAGATTATGTTACCTGTTAGTCGTCACCACAGAGGGTGCACTGGCTCTATGGCTACTTAACACATGCACATTCAGCTCCCGGTGCTTCCCCAGCGATAGAAAAGTGAGACATGAGGATGATAAGGTGGGCTCTTCTAGCCAGTTTCACTCAGGTAAACTCGGCCCTGAGGGAGCCTGGTGTGGAAGACAGTTCCCGAGTGACTCTCATGGGAGACATACCTTGTTGGGTGCAGAGAGAGCATGGGCCTTCTGTGTCAGCTGACAGCAACCCCTAGGGCTCGACTGAAGAAACCATTACACACACACAGACAGACATAGACACACAGTTCTCAAGCGACCCTCACACATCTTGTTGCATGCGGAAAATGGGCTTTCTTTGCCAACTGACCACAGCCACTAGGACTTAACTGAAGAAACCAC